AAAGAGTGTTTAGGTAGAAATTTAATTTAACATTCAGAAAATCGCTTTCAAAAGCAGGATACTTAAGTGCTGTATCTTCAGGCTTATACCTTATTTAAGACTGGTGACGTTCAACCACAACTTTCCACTGACTCTAGATAATCACTGAGCATTTCCGTGGTTGTGCTTTTAAGGGGAGACTTGATCAACACTTTGATAAAAATATTAAAGATCATTATAAGAAGGAATTTGAAAATCGAACTAATTTGTGAGAGTTTCTGAAGGCATCATGTGGATTATACACCCTTTGTTAATTAGTACTCTTTGTATGTTTCTCTTCAATGTGCTGGCAGGTAAGACACGTGGCATAGATTTGATTTGATTTTTTGCTTTGTAATACATTATGATGATTGTTCAAAACCAGAAATGTAGACTATATAGTTTAAATAGATATAAAAATATATCATAATAATAAAAATGTAAGATTAAGGTTTTAAGATAATATTCTTCAAGAAAATGTGCAGTGTGTAAAATTCAAATTTAATTTTAAATGATTAAAAACTGTTAGTTGTATATAACAACAGTTAACCAATTTTTGTAAGTTGAAATATAATAAGACAGACAAATTAGATGTTTATTTATTGAGGCAAACACAGATATGAAACAAAAAAGCATCAAGAGTGGAATAAATGTGATACAGAATGATTTATTATGAACAAATACTATACAAGATATTGATGTAAATGATGTGTGAAATAAATTTGACATGGAATTTGTAACTACATAGTTACATGGTTTTTGGAAATTAATATGGAATATTGAAACTGAATATAGAAAAAAGCACACATTGTATAAATGATCACCTGTATCAGTTTGTTTTAATGCAAATTAATTTTTTTTTTTTTGCAGATAACAATAAAAACGCAGGAAACCCAGTTTGGTAATTCTATAATTCTCAATGTATTACTATTACTATAATTGTATAACTGAAATACCACTTGAATTTATCATATCTAATTCTGTGAGTGAACTATGCAACAAGTATTTGGTAGATTTACAATATAACCCATTTAAAATCTTTTTGCTCTCAGCCTTTGAGTTGTATAGTATTTGCATTTTCTTCCGTGAGAAGTGATCAAGTTGGTTGTAATGTCTTAAAACTGTTCTTCTCCTCACTACGTAATTTAATCTTGTGATAATTCCAGATATCAACATTTATTTCTGCATTGTTTTAGTGAATATCTTCATCCGTTGATGTACGCCGTCGTCTGTTTCCTCGCTGCCGTAATTCTTATTCTCCTGATAATTCTGTTTAAAATGATCATCTCGATGCAACGTGGTGAGTGCACTACAGTGCTATGTTTAATTGCTTATTTATTCCTTATTATAATAGTAAATGACCAGTGCTTCTTATAGTACTATGATGTAGCTTTGGTATGTGTGTGATCATTTTTGTTGTTGTTTGAACTTAGCCATTAAAAGAGACACTATCCACACAACCAGCGACACGAGAGAATCAACTGCTTTGTGTCAGAACAATGCATTAAGTGTCTCCCCTACTTCAGGTGATGGTAAAAACACACATTTTGCAATAAGTCCTACTGTTTGTCCACTGAGGTTTTCACACTAAACTTTTGCCTTGTCAATAATTAGGTGCAGATAATTCATCCTCTACTTGTTCTGGGACCCCTGAAGGCTCGGTAAGTCATTTGAAAACCATTAACTTCTTCCTCACGCATCTGAAAGCCATCACTACGTATTCCAGATGAGTTACGCACCATTTAAAGAATGTTACAATTCTTTATTGCCATTTTTTGTTTCATAAGGGCTTTTGTTTTTGTGTGTTTCTGGATGTCAGCTGTCAGATCTTTCCACTAGCTCTCAACGGTACGTAAGCCTTGAAGACCGTCGAAAGACTTCTGACTACATAAATGTTTCAGAAACTGCTTCCCTTGGACTAGTGGACTTTAAAAAAATGGATACAGACTATGTGAATGTTGAAGTGTCCCAACAGAAAAAGGAGAAAAGAAAAAGCCAAGTGAGCTGTGATGACGGTACGACAAGTTTGAGCAGCGATGATTCTGCTCTGAATTACTCCAAGGTTGTCTTTACTAAGGCAGAGAAGTAAATGGTGTAATTAGTAGCTCATCATTTACTCAACCTCACGTTGTTTCCTTCTTCTGTGGAACAAAAAATATTTGGAAGAATGTTTTCGCCTATACAATTAAAAAATCAGTGGGGTCCAAAATAACATTTTAAGTTAGTCATGCAAGTTTGGAACAACATGAGGGTATTCTTTAAGAAGATTAAATTAAAAATACTGATATTTTCCAAATAAAAACATAACATTTTAAACAATGTTCCCATAAACACAAGGAATGGGATGCTTTTTTTTTCCCAATGCATTTTCAGGCGTGCATTTTAGTGCATTTTTCAGATCATAAAACACCACATCCTGACAGGAAGGAACCAGACATGCATCTGTGAAAGTCTAACAGCAATAAATAACTACTCTAAATGTGCAGTCATCAAATGATGTACTGTGATAACAAACATGCCCCTTTTCAACATCGACACTTTATGCGTTTCCACCACCAAGCATCATTTTTCATTTAGGGCCCGAGGGAAACCATTAAAAACTCACATGATGTAACGCAAAATCTCTCAGGAACATTGTTATAAAAGGATCATTTTAAAATAGAATTTATCCCAGATTTATCCCAGTACCCCCACATTTAATGTTTGATATTTACAGATTTAATATTTGATATTTATGTCACATCAAAATGGCAATATTGACTTTTTATGAGATCACATATATTATGGTGAATCCCATCAACTTGCATTGCCAGTGTCCCACCACTTGGTGGTATCAGAAGCTCTGTATGTGTTACTATATAGTGATGTATGAAGAGTCTGTTAGGATGTGAACTTTGTGTTAAGCTGTGATGTTATTTGTTGCACATTTCTACATGAGCCAATGCCAAGAGCACAGCGAAACAAATTCAATGTTATATCATCCTTCTAATTTTAAGGCCAATCCTAACCACACATTGCAATATCTGATCCCCGCAGATTCTGAAAATAACCCAAAAGAACTATAAAAGTCACCCTCTTTATTCTGATAAGACACAGATATTTAAATAATTAGAGGAGACATCCAAGTTCCAAGAAACGCTTCTATTTTGAGTTAGCATTTGAATTGAATTCATTACCAAATGAGTTGTGTTTTGCGGCGCTCCTTTCAGGTACTGCACAGAGACTGCTTTAAATTCAACTTCCAGAATGGAATAATTGTAGTTCAGTGAACTTAAAGTGCATGCTTTTGCAAATGTTGTGTCATAGAAGCTTTGCAACAAACATGTTGCCTGCATGTGGTTCTGTTGAAACACAGTTCATTTCATAACAGATGCTGAAGTTGAAGAGTGGTCCGTCTTTAGTGGCAAGGCAAGAAAGAAATGCTGTTGCATTGCTCACATCCGACTAATAATGGCCTTTGATCTGTTGGTTTCATTAAATGCTCAGCTGTGAGCGCATCATGTTGTTAGTCCAAGATAGATTGTTCTTAATAAATTCATAATGAAACCAAACCTTTTTCTTTATATGACAAAGTGTCATTGTCACATAATCAAACATTTAATTACAAAAGTGTTTTTTTCGCAGGCAGTAAAAAGAAATTGACTATTGCACAATGTAAGGCAATGATACAGGGAGGATTTCAATCATTTTTTTGGAACATCCAGAGGTTTGGCCTGTGAAATTTGGTGGTTTGGTTAAACAACAGCACTCTGTTTTCAGGAATCCCCACTAAAAAACTATTCTCGTAATATAAATCATACCATACAAATGTTAATTCAAGATTCTGACATTTAAACTCAAGCTTTGCACAAAGAAGTTTACTTAGTGGTTATCAATTCATTGCTAATAACCCAGTGTAATCGAATTAAGTTGTAAAACTTAAATAACCAATGATAGAAAGGGAAAAAACTTTTTTTTTGTTTGATGTTGAAGGCTTCAGTATGTAAACAGTATCACAATCGCTTTGTGATCAAATAAAAATAAAAAATCCCTGGAATGTGTTTAATTAATTTTGTTCAATGAAAGTTTAACCACTGAAAACTTACACCAATAAACTTATCTTGCCTTATTACCACACTGTTTGCCTTAATGCCTAAAAGTGTTTTTAAAGGGATTGTTCACCCAAAAATGTGTTTGTCTTCATTTACTCACCCTCATGTTGTTCAAAACTCGTATAACTTTGTTTCTTTTGTGAAGCAAAAGTCCCAGTTGCTATTTTTCACAAAATTAGGCCACATGTAGATGTGAAAGCACCATGAAACTATTATTAAACTGGTCCTTACAATGGTATACGATTTGAAAAAACGAGGGTATGTAAATAACAACAGTATTTTTCTTTTCTTTTTTCAAACTAATTCTTTGCACACACTTCTGCCCTGACATTTATTATTTTATTCAAGTCATATGTTAGAGGAGAGAAACAACATGTGACTTGAAAGCAAGAAAATGATACACATCTGAGTCAAGACAGTGACGTGAAATGAAAAAAACTGAAACCAACTAACATGAGATTGTTTTATTGTAAATGGATAGTTTTAATGAGAAACACATTGTTCAGGTTGACTGTTCTTAAGCGTTCCACAAAGCACCCATCTGTTTTACTCATTTGTTTATTGGTACGGAACTAAATATATTGCTATTAGACTCCTTTTAACAACATGAGCCAAGCAAAACATTAGATTAATTATTTACTTCTGACATAAAGACGGCACTTAGAATGCGGCTTCATTCCACCTGCCCTGTATATACAGTATACATACAGTATATATTCATTGATTTATTTACACTCCATATATATTTGTGTTTGAATATGAGAACAATCTTAAACCGACATGAAAGAAAAATCTCTTCTCTCTCTTTTTTTTTTTTTTTAAAGAATAATTTATATTTTCTGTTCAACATTTCATGGTCAGTTTGCCGAGGCAAAGAGAAAATGAATGTGTCAAATGAATGTGTGTTTAAATGCTTAAAATATTTTCATATTTTCCAATGGACCATCTGCCAGATCAAGTCATTTCCTGTTCTAGTGCTATATCCTAGTTGTAGACACCTTTTGAGCAATAAAAGATGTATTTTAAAACGTATTATAATTCTATATACAGAATGAGAAAAAGCAACCTGCTGATATTTTGTTTCCCAATTTATTGTTTGTTTGGAATAAATAATTTAATCCATCAACTCATATTGGAAACATCAAAGAATGTTGATTTTTCTGTTTGAACGAGATCACTTGGGACATCCTGCTGAAAAGACCTCCAGAGCTAGTAACAAGCATATGTTTTGGCTACTGGTCACAGCATGTTTCTCTCCAGACCAGCATTGACCTAGATGCCATTCTAAGCGGGTCTTCTCAGAAGAGCAAAAATGACTTGTGAGTCACTTACTTTTTGCTGTCTGTAAAACAGGACGGTAATGAGCAGAAGTCCACCACACCCTAATGTAATAATGAGCACGGTGCCAAAGGAGATGATTGTACTGCTGGATTGTTCTGTGGCAGGGTTCCTCTGTGTTTCTCTGTCTGGATGAGTTTGGTTCTTCATCTCCTGCCTATCCTCCTGGGATCTGCTGTCTTTGAAAACCAAAGGCATCTTTGGTGAATCATCACAGAATTAATAACACATGACTGAATCGACCTTGAATGCATTCACGTTTGATGTCTACTACATTTAAAGGGGTCATATGATGTTGCTAAAAAGAGCATTATTTTGTGTATTTGGTGTAATGAAATGTGTTTATGCAGTTTAAGGTTAAAAAAACATTATTTTCCACATACTGTACATTATTGTTTCTCCTCTATGCCCCGCCTGTTTAAAACGCGTCAATTTTTACAAAGCTCATTGGTCTGAAAAGCGAGGTGTGCTGTGATTGGCCAGCTATCCAGTGCGTTATGATTGGCCGAATACCTCAAGCGTGTGACGGAAATGCTACGCCCCTCACCATACTGTGATGATGCCCTGTCAGGCCGGAGCGATGATTCAAAAACAATAAAACCCATTATAAACGAGGCATTAGTTGCATCCAGTGGGGACATATTTACGGATTATAATGACTTATACTGTCTTTTTACGTGTTGCATTGCATCGTGCCGCGTAAACATAAAACCATGTATGCATTTGTGATCGGAGAAATGACAAACAACAAGCCCTACTCTACACTGCTCAATAGTCGCATTTGAATCATCAGTGGCAAATTCTTTAAATATAAAAAAAACTGGGTTGAACTGTTCTGGAACAGTGTTGTAAATACAACTTAACCAGTAGTTCTAGTCGTGTCCATTTTTTGAAGGCCAAACAAAGCAGTTTCACTTTCACAACGAAACAGCGTCACACACACGTCCTCTTTTGGAAGGCCAAACAAAGTAGTTTCGCTTTCACAACGAATCAAACAGCACCTTCACGACATGGCGGTGGCAACAATACTACAGTGAGAATAAAAGTTACGCCTTCTTTCTTTGCGTGAACATTTGGGTGGTGTTATGCAAATCTTCCCACATCGTGACGTAGATATGTGGGGGCGTGTTAGAACGAGTCGTTTTAGGTAGGTGTGGCTGACGGTTAACTTTTATAAAGAATATCTCTTTGGATTTTAGACTTTAGTCTTTGCAACTTTACAGATCTTCTTTATGTACCAAGAGCTTGTAACATTCCAAAGAGAAAGGAAAAATTTAAATTGCATCATATGACCCCTTTAAATAAAATATAAATATTAGATGAAAAGCATTTAATATAATGATATTTAAAAAATGACGAAGTCACACAATAATATTACTAAAATGAAAAAAGAAAATGGAAAATATGAATAACAAAATAAAATAGTGCATAAATAATACTACAATAGCACTGCTACTATCTGACTACCTCACCTTTGCTGAGCTTTGCCTTATGGACGGTTCTCATGAAATTCCTTGGCATCCTCACCGGACTTTGAGTGTGTGTTTGGAAATTTTTAGGAGGGCTGTGTAAATGACCTGGCTGTTCAACAAGGGCGCTTAAGCCTTCTGATGAATGTGCAGCTGCTTTCAAAGAAGACAGAACTGTGGTTGTGACTGGTGCAATGTGTTTACTCAGTTGAAGCATTTGGAAAGGCTTGTTTTTTATCTCTGTGCTCTTTATATTTTTGTATGCTGGTTGAGATGTTGTAGTAACTGAGTTCATGGATAATTTTACAAGGGAACTGGATGGTCCTTCTTGGATTTTGGAATCTAAAGACCTTTTGGCAAGTAAAAGCGGCGTGCTCTTCTCCACATCGTCCTGCGTGCTATCGCTTGTGCTTTTTTGGTAGGGGCCAGAGGTGGTTGTCTCAACACTTGAGTCAGTTCTGTTTGGAAATACATCCTGAAAATTTGTAAATGAAGGGAAAAGATCTGGTGATGGCACATGGTCCGTTTCTGAATTTGAAGTTTCTTCATGAAAAGCTGGAGTGCTACCAAAGAGGGAGTTGGATAAATGTTCTTGTGTTGATCTCCATGTGGCAGGTGTTCCTAGATCTAGTGTTTGGTGTTTGGTTACTGGGACAGCAGACTTAGATTGTTTAGTCCTTTCATTACCACCCTTCAAGGTTTCCACAAGTGAAAAGGTTGATCTTTGTGGGGATTGAGTAGATTTCGGGTAAATATTCCAATGACTTGTGGATGCAGAAGACTTAGTTGGTCTAATGCTCACCGCTGGACAAATGCAGGGGCAATCGGAGGCACCTAGAGGAAATGTAATGGACATTTTGATAAAAACACAACTAAAGCAAGGTAAGCTGGTACTTTGCTAATCTTTTGCTAATGAGGTTCATTTTGAGAGCCTTTTTTGCCCCATTTCAGTTTCTTTCCCCCCTTTTAACGAATTACACTGCTTGTCTGTGTTGTGTGTTCCAGATAAATTTACTGATGGGTATTTGTGACTCTTTCTGTCGGTTATGTTGTTACACCAGTAGGTGGCAGAAAGTGTCTTGAGTCATTTTGTTTGAATTTGATCAAAAACTGATTAAAAAATAAAACAAGTGAGTGTTTATGAATCCCTTTTGGATCATTTGCTGACCACTAAACATGAATGAAATAGTGGAATGAAACACCACTATGGTGTGTTGCTCGGAGGTGCTCAATGATTCTACAGTACTTCAGCTTCATTACAACTGTTTTCACAAGCGGTGCAAAAAGGAAACTGGCAATATTGTGTCTAAAATGTCAGCTACTCTGGTTTAAAGGGGTTATTCACTATTAGCAAGATGGGCTTTTAATAAAACTTGTCTGTCTGCAGTAGAAATGCATTTTTTTTGTTGAGAAATTAGAGGGCTTATATGGGTTCCATTTGGCTAGAACATTGTTAAATTTTACTACCAACATTGTTACAATACAAAGCTAGTTAAAATTGGCAAACTTGTTCTTTAAATTCTTGTTAACTGTTGCATAAAAGCTCTCGCAATGAGAATGAGCGTGTCATTTCAGATGATTGCTGGACTTAACAGTTGTGCTACCTGCTGTTTGGCTGAGAGGTTCAGTGGTGGATTCTGGGTAATCTTCTGTGTACTCCTCCTCACAGTTCCAGTCCACAGGCTTGTTGCTCTGAATCATCAGACCCATATACATGCGAATCACTTCCTCAACTTTCTCCAAAGCTGCCCTGGGCAAAGTCATGTGGGTTCTTATGAACTTCTTTGGGCTATCCTGTAGGGTGTAAAACATGTTTTTTTCCCCAGAAGAATTAGGCTGAACCCTAACAACTGGGGAAGCAGGTGGTAGGCTACACGGGTCATTGTAAAGTTATTTTAATGCAAATATTTTAATTCAAGCAGATCATTTAATTATATATCCATTGCCTTTTGAGGTTAAATCAATTTTATAATTTTGGTAAACATTCCAGGATATATAAAAGTAGCTATATGATATACACTGGTTTTCCCTGTGTGCATCCTGCCAAAGACAACAAACTGTCTGACTTTGTTTTAAAAATAGAGTAGACAAAGACATATGATGCACCATGGCATTTATCTGTGATTTAATTAGGACTGCAACTGGAAAGGTTTCCTCTGGACTTTGTGGTCCAATGAACTTCATGTTGGCAGTGGTTAAAATAACAAAATAATCATAACTCTGAATTCCTTTTTTCCAAAAATGGGCCAGAATTAAACATTTAATAAAACATTTTAACAAAACAGTCCAACACTAATGCAAGAAAATCTATTTGAATAAAAACCATTGACCATTGTTGCCAAAACCACTAGCTACTGTCCAAGACCTTTGGTTTCTTGAAACTTTATACATCTCAAATGTATGTACATACAGCACAATGCCTAATGTTTCCTGTAGCTCGTTTCTTAAATAAAGCTGCCAGATGTTTTGTTATTTGTCATTGAAAAGACGTGGGATTATTTCTGCTATTAAAACAAAGAAGTAAAAGACAACAATCTTCTTCCATATTATTTATAACTAATAGACAATTTTAGGCACCACTGCTCTCAAAGAGAATATATATGGACTCACCTCAATCTCCTCATTGATTGGAGGGATGCATCTCTGGGAGTAAATGTTGTAGATCAAGTTCTTCAGTGAATTAGTATAACGGTAATTGTCCGAGTCCTTGGCATATCTGAATTGGGTGTTGAGTAGCTCCAGTATGTGAGGGAATGCTGCTTTAACATAACACACAACACTCTGGAACACACAAACATATGACAACCACAATGAACATTTGATATTATCACACACACACTGAAGTTTCTTTTAGACTACATTTTGTGACTTTTTATTCCTATTGTAATACAGGCTTTCCAATTGACAGTGCTTGCAAATTTCATGCTTCAAATCAAACCTGCTCTTTCATAGAGCTTGCACTCCATTTGAATGCTGATGGGGTATCTCAATTCTCTACAGAAGGGTACATGTACACGTGGCCAGCAGGACTTTTTCATTCTTACAAATGGAGGAAATGTACGCTGCATTGCCTAAAATAAATGGTCTTTTCATTGTCTTCAATTGTCTTTACCCAACAGCACTTGCTCTATGGATCCTCTGCAGTGAATGGGTGCCATGAACGAAAGTCCAAACAGCTGGTTAAAACATCACAATAATCCAGACCATCAATTAATGTCTTGAGAAGTGACAAGTTCTCATGGAGTTTTGGTTCCTTGCCGCTGTCGCCTCTGGCTTGCTTAGTTGGGGACACTTCATTTCATTTTCGATATCGTTGACTTGATTGCAAAGATACTATTTAAACTGAACTGAGCTGGATGATGACATCACTGAATTGAATGATGAACTGTCTTTAACTGAAAAATGAGTGTTTGCTCTTGTCATTTTGCATTATTGACACCCTATTTTCCTAATTAATGCTGTTCAGTTGCTTTGACACAATCTGTATTATTAAAAGCGCTATATAAATAAAGGTGACTTGACTTGACAAGTTATTTGTTTGTTAGAAACAAATCCACCATGAAGGCATTTTAAAACCTAAAAATGTAACTTCCCATCAAAATACCAGTCCATAATCCATATTAACGCTTCTTCCAGTTATGGATGGACTTGTATATCAGTCAAGTTAAAACGTCTTGATGGATTTGTTTCTTAGTGATTTTTTTTTAATCAGCTGTTTGGTCTCTCATTCTGATGGCACCCATTTACTGCAGAGGATCCATTGGATGTTATGCTAAATTTATTCAAATCTGTTCTCAAGAAGAAACAGACTCATCTACTGTATATCTTGGATGGCCTGAGGGTGAATGCATTTTCAGTAAGTTGTTATTTGTGGGTAAACTATTCTTTTAATTAATTTACCAGATTTTTTTCACTGACATTTCATGCAAAGGCTTTCCCATCTACTATTTGAGTCGAGTTGAACTATTTATCCATTCAAACGTTTAGTAGTTTCACACAAATAGTCCCCTCAGGGATAAGTGATTTGGTCAAGCACACGATTACAGTAGAATTATTGCTCGCTTGCCTAGTTTGAGAGCCTGAAATCTTTGAATTGTCACTTCATTCGTTATCTCACAGACAGTGATTCAAGATGCATTCTTCAAATATAAGGGACATCTGGCATATATATGAACAATTCCTGCTGAATTGCAGGGATCCCAAAACACATCTGTGTCCAGAGCAGTCTTCAAGCTGTGATCTTTCAAACTTTTAACATGACTGATGGCCTTGGAAATATCCAAAAGCACGTTTCGACTGTTTCACTATTTTTGTTCTGCCAGTGGTCTCCTTCAGTAAACGTTTCCTCTTCACACATGCCGTGCTGAGAGTTTGAAAACCTTTAAAAACAGACTTTCTTTGACCTCAACAATCAGTAAAAACAACTTAATTTGATTACGTTTAATTCCTAGTACTAAAGAATGTGATGCACTTCATTGTGTGAAAACATTGTCAGTGTAAATAACCGTCTTTAAAAAGAGACCCACGTTAGGTCTGTATTCCAAAGTGTTCATAAATTACAACAATTTAAGTTTGGATAGTGCACTTTCATGCCTATTTTAAAAAATGGGGGGTGACAGTTAATAGCTTAAATTTACATCACATGGTTTTGCTGCCTCTCTGTTGTAAAACATGATCTTATGAAACATCTGTTTCAGATCAATAACCAATTTTGTGGCATGACATTCACACTAATCAGAGGTGATACTTACTGTATGTGTTATTTTAAGATTTTGTGTGATCCAAAAATGAAACCTCAACAAACAAGATTTTAAATAAATTCTAGCTTCTTTATAAAAGTACTGACAGGTTTAAAAGAAATCTTGGCCAAGTTGAAAAACCTGAGCCACTTTGCCTTAACAATAAAACTGACCAGAAATCTTTGTCCAGGACTCACTGTAATAAAGTATTAAGTTAAAGTTATTATAAGTGTGCAGCCATCTCACACCTCCACCAAAAATTCCCTTGGCCATGTTAAGAATCTGGGGCCCTGAACGATGCATTCAAAACTTCTTTGGAGCTCTGGACCAGTGAGCAAGTAGACTATTCTGAGACAGTCCACTGAGAGCCTGTCTGGCTTATCCAGCCCCAGTTAACAGGGATTCAGTGCTAGAGTCTTTACACAAAATACTTTTTATAAAAAAATAAAAAAATAAAACGTACCCCAAACCTTTGATCTTTGGCAGTGTATATAAATGTATATATTAAAGAACAACTCAAAAGGATCTGAAAAAGGAGCTGAGCTGCTGAGAGACACGACCATATAATAGTGACCTCCAGGATAATTTCCCTAAAGAACTGAGCTTCTGCTTATGCAAACTGTACAGTCATGTTCCAAAAATTCAAGGAGTTCTAGTGCAGCTGCATCAGCTGTCATGACAAACAGGGTCACGAGGTAACTGTAACCATATATGCACCTATTGTCTATATGCATGTATGTACAGTATATATAGTTAGTGTCACTGTCCCACCTGTGGGACGCTTGGCTCTCTTTTTGTTGTTGTCCTTTTTCTCTATCAAATCTTTTAGTAATCATCATAAATTATATATCATTTGAAAGCTTAGAAACCCATGATTCATCCTGTGAAAACCATTTTGAAATCGACATTGCGTTACCATGAAAATGGTACTTTAGAATCTTTTTGCGGTCTCCTCCCCCTGAGCGGGCGGTGTCAAGTGTCATATTACAAAATGCATTATGGTCTTTTAGAATCAAAACATTTAATTAAATTTATTTTTATATAGAAGCCATATTGACAGCGAAATCTAGACATTTGTGACAGAAAAATGCATTAAAAAAATCTGAGCCACTTTGCCTTAACAATAAAACTGACCAGAAATCTTTGTCCAGGACTCACTGTAATAAAGTATTAAGTTAAAGTTATTATAAGTGTGCAGCCATCTCACACCTCCACCAAAAATTCCCTTGGCCATGTTAAGAATCTGGGGCCCTGAACGATGCATTCAAAACTTCTTTGGAGCTCTGGACCAGTGAGCAAGTAGACTATTCTGAGACAGTCCACTGAGAGCCTGTCTGGCTTATCCAGCCCCAGTTAACAGGGATTCAGTGCTAGAGTCTTTACACAAAATACTTTTTATAAAAAAATAAAAAAATAAAACGTACCCCAAACCTTTGATCTTTGGCAGTGTATATAAATGTATATATTAAAGAACAACTCAAAAGGATCTGAAAAAGGAGCTGAGCTGCTGAGAGACACGACCATATAATAGTGACCTCCAGGATAATTTCCCTAAAGAACTGAGCTTCTGCTTATGCAAACTGTACAGTCATGTTCCAAAAATTCAAGGAGTTCTAGTGCAGCTGCATCAGCTGTCATGACAAACAGGGTCACGAGGTAACTGTAACCATATATGCACCTATTGTCTATATGCATGTATGTACAGTATATATAGTTAGTGTCACTGTCCCACCTGTGGGACGCTTGGCTCTCTTTTTGTTGTTGTCCTTTTTCTCTATCAAATCTTTTAGTAATCATCATAAATTATATATCATTTGAAAGCTTAGAAACCCATGATTCATCCTGTGAAAACCATTTTGAAATCGACATTGCGTTACCATGAAAATGGTACTTTAGAATCTTTTTGCGGTCTCCTCCCCCTGAGCGGGCGGTGTCAAGTGTCATATTACAAAATGCATTATGGTCTTTTAGAATCAAAACATTTAATTAAATTTATTTTTATATAGAAGCCATATTGACAGCGAAATCTAGACATTTGTGACAGAAAAATGCATTAAAAAAATTCAATGGAGTTTGGATGGCACCCGGCACCTGTTATGTAAAATATTTATTATATATAAAATAAAATAAAATTAGTATAGTGCATTTTCTTTACAGTAAATTTAAACTTCTATAACTTTTTGATACTTAAATTTTTTGAAAAAATTCCACTTAATAATCTGCTCATTTTCGTCTTTAAAAAGAGACCCACCTTAGGTCTGTATTCCAAAGTGTTCATAAATTACAACAATTTAAGTTTGGATAGTGCACTTTCATGCCTATTTTAATAAATGGGTGACAGTTAATAGCTTAAATTTGCATCACATGGTTTTGCTGCCTCTCTGTTGTAAAACATGATCTTATGAAACATCTGTTTCAGATCAATAACCGATTTTGTGGCTTGGTAGGAAGATCTATTATACCAGAATGCCAACAACCATATCAGGGTCTTTCATATACTGTTCATAACTGTTGAAATACCCATAGGAAAGCTGGTAATCTATATGTGTCATTACATGAAAAAAGTGAAAATGTGCATACCAGGTTCTGGTGCTCAGTGAAGGTGTAGGTTATTGAACAACCATTTTGCAACTGGTTCTTCATCTGCAAAGGAAAGAATTCAGTGTGAAAAATCATAGTTTGCCATATGTTTAGCTCATATTTATCAACATCAGTATCAATTTTAATAGGGACTTTAAAAGAGGCCAGGCACACTTTCATACAACTTTTTCCCATTAGATTTTTATCTAGTGCGCTATTTAGTGTGCTGCCATTCATTTAGAAAGATTGAATGCCAAAATACTTCTGAATTCAAACTATCCAAATAATTTATGTGAGTGAACATTACAGACAGCTGTGGGATTTAATAACAAAGCATAATAAATACTTTTATGTGTAATTTTATAATACAAGTACATTTTGTTCAGTCTACAAGGTGATTTACTGCTAGTAAAAGCAGCGTATCTTACCAGACGTCTTAAATTCAAGAGATGGTCCTGGGTGACAGAGTGCTTACATGGACCTGGCACACCAGCATACACCAAATGAAAGCCCAGGATAAGGAAGAAGCACAGATGCCTTACCTACAAGCACAAAACGATTATTTTTTTTATTTTATTGTAATTTAGAGTTTTAATTACAATAAAACTGCATAGATAAAGTAGATTTTTATTAGAGCTGGGCAACGATAAATCGCGATTAATCGCATCCAAAATAAAAGTTTTTGTTTATATAATATATGTGTGTGTACTGTGTATATTTATTATGTATATATAAAGACACACACATACAGTATATATTTAGAAACTATTGACATGAATTTACATGTCCACCCATTGAGTGGGAACCAAGCAGCAACCTTGAATCCAGCAACCTCTCTCTTGAATCCAACTAATTGAATTAAACTGCAATTCATTGACTGGCCACACAGCCTCCAAAAGGGAGTCAATCCCATAGACACCCCATATTACATCCTCTTTTCTGCCTCTTTGCCCATTTCTGATGTTTTGGGAGTGACGTGCTGCCAAGATTGCTCTGGCTGGCTCTGGCCACTTTGCTCTTCAGAAACCTATGGGTGAAATCCCAGACACTACGTCCATGTTTTATAAAGTCTATGGTGGAGCCATAGACTGTGGAGGAGCACCCAGAAGTATAAAGGGACACCTATAATGCACATTGCCAGGTTTTTTTGTCTTCAGGAGCCGTTTGTTTGTCCAGCATGTGTGAGACATGACTAAGAGCTCGACCAAATGTTTTAGGAAGTGTGTGACTTTGTGTCATAGGTTTCTGACACCCGAGGACACACACAACCTATGTGTTATGTGTCTGGGAGAGGAGCATGTGCGTTCATTGCTCGAGGGTGCTGATTGCACTTGTTGTGGAAAGTTTTTAATGAAAAAACTCCGTGTCTCATCCCTCGTGCCTGTCCCTATTTTCAATGCTGCCAAGGCATGGCGGAGTCTCCGATTGTGGGGATCGCAGGTGGAGCTCACTGAGAAGTTTGAGAGAGGTTTGGATCTTTCTGGATCCAGACAACCTAATATTGCTTCAATACTACTTCAGCCTTTCTACTTAAACTATTCACGTTTAATTCAATGTGTTGCTTGCCATTTCTTTGTAATTATTTGTGAAATTTACTAGCAAAATTAAGAAAATATAACAAACAGCTTGATTTTTTTCCAGCTTGCATGTGACTTTGAACATATCCAAAGCTACTTAATATTATATCAACAACAGTGAAAATCTCCCTGGAGCAACCTGGTGTTGAAACGGTGAAAATGTTGATGGGAAAGGAATGTAACATCAGTAACTCCCCAATCTCTGGGTTGGAGTGACTTAGAGATTGGGGAGTTACTGATGAATTCATATTCATTGCATTTTTTGATCCTCTGAACTATGCAACACCGTTTATGCGACACAACAGGGACTTATCATGTAATGTTACAATATTATATACTACAATTAATAAAGTCATAACGTGGGCATAAGTACTTCCTTACCTCTCAGAACACAAAAGCAAATTTCATAAATCTCTGGTGTGAAAACCCACTGAAACTATAAAACTGTTTATGATGTTGGCAAGATCAGAAAAACAAGAAATAGATGACTAGATCGTTGCTCAAAAAGTTATCGAAGCTTTTCTCCACAGGAGAGCTAAATGGACTCATAGTCATGTGTACAGCAGATGTGATGCTTCACGTCAACCTCTTAAGAGTTTGATAAAAGCCAGACAGCATTTTAACAACATCTTGACAAAACCTCACAAGCTGCTTCAGCTCTGCCTTATCGGAGACAGAAAAAATAGCTTAACAAGGCTCATTTATGACAAGTAACTGCAAATAGTTTGTCTCAGATTAATTTCAATTGGCTTTGTAGATGTCAGGGTGACAAGCAAATTTAGCTTAACTAGGCAATAAAATGCAAAAATCACCAAGGAAATGTACAATGAATTTCAGACAGTCTGTCGCCATTTATTGCTTGTCAGATATGTAGATACTTTTATGGGGTTTTATTATTATTATTTTTTTGTTTAAGATTTTTGGGGTACATTTTGCAATAATAATAATCATAATAATATTGCCGTTTTTCTACTTCAGACTGTAATGTTTATTCAGTGTGTTACTTGCTATAATAATATCTATATCTATGATAAATTAATATCAAATAGGTGTTGGAAATGAATAAATATATTCTTCCGTGTGTTGAAAGTCTCCAAGCAAATGTACTAAATATATTGTTAAGAATGTTGAAAATGAATATACTAGTAAATATATGCATATATATATATATATATTTTAGGGTATTGAAAATAAATAAACATCCTATTAAACATATCATTCAAATTTAAAGTCCAAAATTAGAAATGTTATTAAACAAGACAAATAATACCATACACCATTTATTTATTTGTCAAAGCAATACAACTGCTTCAATAAGACAACTGTAAAAAACAACTGAACTAGTGTTTCCTGCCATGGATCTGGGAAGTCCTGGGTTATCAAGCCAATAAAGCATGTAGTGATAACAGGTAAGAAGAATAAAGACCCCATAAAGTGAATGTTTCCATTACCTGAGCTTATGTTTCTTATTACCTGATGTATGAAACCACTTGTATGTGTGAGACCAAAAAAAAAAAAGGGATTAAGAGTGGACATAGCAACTCAGCAGTCGACAATATAGCCAGAATAACTAACAGTGATATTTTCTCTTAGCAGTTGCTAACTGAAGAGAACAGCCAAGAGAACAAGAAAGCAGCCAACTGAAGCAATGAAATTTCACAGTCCACAGTTTTCTTCTGCATGTTCCATGTCTTACGAAATTTGCCCACAGTTGTTTAATGGTTTGGCTTTCTTACACTGAAATAGTTTGATGGACATAAATCAAGAAATATGGGAAAAGGTTCAACAAGAAAGGAAAACAGTGTTCTCAAGTTTCACAAGAGGGATATCTTCAGCCATCGTATCTGACATTAAACAAACCTCATTCTACACATCAATCTAACGGTATCTATTAATCATGCAGAAGCAGAAACTGAAACGGGTTTTAAAAAGAAAATCGATGGATCTTCAATTTTCAAATGACACAAATATTCACTTCAAAACCTTCCTTAAGCAACAAGTCTATGTCAAAGGAGAGCAGCAGACTTACCTTGGCTTTGTGGGCTGTTATGTGTGTGTTCATCTGGCTGACCTGAGCAAATAGAAAGCAATGAAGTCCACATGTAGATTCATTGGATTAGTCTTTTTGTTTTGTGTTTGATCCTAATGAAGATAGGGTCTGCTCCACCAAAGATCTCTGTGGGCTTCAAGCATCCAGATATTGAAGGCTCTTGAAACGGATCTGCATGTGAAACAGTTGAGGTGTGCCACCTTGAGAGGGTGAATGTTTCTGCCTGAGGTCTATGGTGGACCAATAAAGTGAGCTGTGGTAAAGACCTCCTCCTCCTCTTCTCCCACAGTTGCGCTTATAAAAAGACCTCTCTCACTTTTTCTTCACTCAGATCATTCCAACATCCTTTCATTTTATTGATGAAGTTTTAGCTCCCTCCAGACCAATATAAGACCTCTCAAAAGTTACATTTGAGCATAAGTTTAAAATCCAATGGGGATGCCAAGTCATCTGCTCATTCTACAAGCTGTAACGATGTTTTAAATGCTAGGTTTCTCCATTGAGCGAAACTTGTAGTAGTTTTCTTGTGAAAGAAAAAAAACATTTCATTTACTTCTCAAGTCACTTCAAACCCTATAAGACTTGCTTTTGTTCTTGATAAACAATACATGTTTAGAGGGAAAGTTAAGCATAAAAATGTTCTTGTCTAAACGTTTTTAGATACAGGCATACAACAGATTTGCAGATAGGGTCTGCTCCACCAAAGATCTCTGTGGGCTTCAAGCATCCAGATATTGAAGGCTCTTGAAACGGATCTGCATGTGAAACAGTTGAGGTGTGCCACCTTGAGAGGGTGAATGTTTCTGCCTGAGGTCTATGGTGGACCAATAAAGTGAGCTGTGGTAAAGACCTCCTCCTCCTCTTCTCCCACAGTTGCGCTTATAAAAAGACCTCTCTCACTTTTTCTTCACTCAGATCATTCCAACATCCTTTCATTTTATTGATGAAGTTTTAGCTCCCTCCAGACCAATATAAGACCTCTCAAAAATTACATTTGAGCATAAGTTTAAAATCCAATGGGGATGCCAAGTCATCTGCTCATTCTACAAGCTGTAACGATGTTTTAAATGCTAGGTTTCTCCATTGAGCGAAACTTGTAGTAGTTTTCTTGTGAAAGAAAAAAAAACATTTCATTTACTTCTTCTCAAGTCACTTCAAACCCTATAAGACTTGCTTTTGTTCTTGATAAACAATACATGTTTAGAGGGAAAGTTAAGCATAAAAATGTTCTTGTCTAAACGTTTTTAGATACAGGCATACAACAGATTTGCAGATTTGAGTTTCGTTGAGGAACAAGCTGAAAATCCTTCCCTCCACAATCTTTATCAGGCTCATTCACGTTCATATATGATATGCAGTATGCAGTTTGACGTCAATGACACCAAATAGCATTGCTTTCCATGTGTCTCATGACAGATGAATGCTTTACAGCCCTTTAAGGTGCTTTTTGTCATGTTTTGGAGCTTGACAGCTTCCGTCCCTATTTACTTTTGTTTATGGGTTACATTTTTATCTTGTGTTCTGAGGCTGAAACATGCGCAACTTGACAAGATGTGAAGATGAGTAAATGGTCACAGAATATAAATAACTCACTCTTTTACAATGATGAAACAGCATTCTCCCCATTTGTGCAAGTCTGTAAGAAAAACTCTATTTTTTCATTCTATTCATTCACATATTTGTTCCAGATATTTGAAAAAGCCAGATGTTTATACATTACATAACGAATTGAATTATCATGCAAAAATAGAAATTCACCTAAATCCTGAACATGTGAAGTTAATATACAGTATGTCATTAGCCATTAAGCTGAATGGTACAGATAGGAAAGATGACCTTTGACTTGTTTTCTAGAGATACTTCCTCCAGACGAAAGTACCTCAAATATCCAAGACCTTACTCTAATTAAATTGCTTCTAAACTTCACTCGTCTCTGCTAGAAATGGGTGTGATTAGTCTCTTAAAATAAGTTGATTCATTCCAATTATAAATCAATTAGGTGTTCAATGACATATTGTTCTGTTCAGACATCCAGTCTAAAACACACAAATCCATGAAGAATGATCAAATGTGTGGTGATATAAACAGCCTGAGATGCTGGTACAAATTAAGATTGGAACAGTTCATATTTTCATGTTTTTGAATTAATATTTCACTGCCTGTCATTGAGCTCTGGATTATGAAAATGTCATTATATTAGTCGTTACAGCCACAAAGAAAAAACCCAAAACAAAACAAAGCAAAGCCTTAATTTTCAACCTCATATAAACTCGTTTGTGTATGCCAAATATGACTTACACAAGCTAACTATTCTCCTGTAAGCAATTCAGAACTGAATTTGTCATTTTTATGGCATTTAACCAGTTGTGTAAACTATGATCACAACCTTCCAGTGAACTATAAGGAGATATTTAAAAAAATTATCCATTCCCCCATTACTTACTCCGGTGATAAAATAAATAAAAATAAATGAAATAGATATAATAAAAATAAATGAAATAATAAAGGATAGATATATACGTAGATTAACCATACATGTTGTAAGGTACAGCAGATATCAAAACATATTCAAAATTATATATTTAACACTATATTACATTAAAATGTCTTAAGAAGTTTAGGATAAGATGGACTTTTTTATTGAAAAGCTAACACAATGTTTATTACTACAGATAACATCTGTAGCATCTATCATGAGCTTGTTTTCTACTTTCCTCGAAATGGAGTCAATGCAGAATTATCAGTCACATTCTATGGCAGAGTTAAATATGCATAACTCCCACATAAATATCTTCACACCACAGTAACTATATGCACATGGGTTACATATGTGCCGTCACTTTCAAGATGGACAGAGCGAAATCCATTACAGGCCTAAAGCATGTGTGCTGTCAGTAGATCCCTGTTCTGTTCTTCCTTTGGGACACTGTGGGGATATTCAGCCTTAAAACTGGATCAAAAAAAAAACTAGACTTTTTTTTTTTGCTTCGCTTTTAGGTGACTCAGGTTATTTCACATATGCAAACAGCAGCTCTAATTAGACAATGTAAAGCACATGCTTTAAGCCAGAGTTACATAATTCTGACAAAATCTAAATGCATTTTTGTGGTCAAGCAATCTAAGAGAATCTAATCAAAAGTTTCAATGCTTGTGCATTAACATGTCACAGTTGTTAACATGTTTGTTTTAAGATATATAGACTACTTTTTTGTGATCATTTTCAAATAAAAAGTTATTTGCCATATGTTGCAGAACAGAAAACCTCTTAAACTATGCACTTAATTAACATGTGGGTTTAAATGTTTTCAATCTGCCTTGTTTGTAACTGTCCAACATTCTAAGTTAAGTTCACTCAAACTCATTTAAGGAACAGCAAGCATTACTGAATTTGGTGTTGTGCATCACAACATACATGTAGCTACTGGATCAGTCCTGTGAGATGAACAGCACTGTGAAATGCATTTGGCAGCAAATCTCTCAGGAACCTCAGTCCTCTTTTATCCACTAGCGCGATGTTGTCTTCCCTTTTAAGCTTGAACAGGTTCAGTATTTTACTCCATTAAACTGCAGATGTTTCACATGGCCTTCAAAATAACATCTAACTTTTAAAGCTTTCAGTTGTTCTTTCCCTCTCTCTGACACACTCTTGCTCCTCTAACCTTATATCATCTGATATTCTTTTTGCTTATTGAATTTCAGAAGCAGAGGCACACTGTGTCCCATTACTTCCCAACATTGGATGTTTCAGAAACTATACTGTAGCACACTATGTCCTTTAGAACTGTTTTGGCTTTATAATTGTTTCAACAAGTTGTATTGGTCTTGGAAATTTGTCAACCATATTAATCTGCTTTCAGGGATTTATTTAATACCACACTGACCAATATGTGCTCACGGTTGTGGTGGTTGTGGTAACTGCCCAGATTAATGGTTTGGACTGCTACAAGTTTTACCCTCCCCTCTCAGCAGCCCTGGGCTTTTGGGACTGTATGTCCAAAAATATTTTCTCTAACCCCCCACAACATTGTATGTAGCAGCGGCAACCACATGTGTCGCACTACAGCCTTTCATTCATTCATTGGTCTCATGAGAGAGGGGCCTGCCCATAAAAATATTGTAAATTGTATTATCTAGATCCGCCACTTGGGTCCACAGTCTAGTTCTGCCCCTTTTGCTTTTTAGCTATTGTTTCTGTCTGGCTTTTATTATAAGTTTTGTCTAGTTTGTCATTTAAACATTTTTTTGTACATCTGAGCTGCATCTAAATCACTCACTAGTTCATTATATAGTGAATGGCACATAATGAACTATATGCACGGGAAAACAGAAACAAAAGTGAGTGAGTAACTTCAGATGCTGATATAATGACTGTGTGCCAGAGTGTAGAAATAACTTTATTTTGCACCTTATAAAATAATAATGATGATAATAATAATAACTTTATTTAAAAACTACACATACACTTTTTTTTTTAAAGATTTTTGTTATTAAATCTATATTATGTTGAAAATAAATTAATAAATTGTTCACATTCTCATATTTAATGTCAAATTTAATAGATAGTTAATTCAGTATAATAGAATAATAATCCAACCACGTGAATAAGTGATTATGTTCATCATTCCATGGTTCAGCTACAGGAAAGCTTTATACAATAAATCAGACTGCATTCTGAGTGCAAAACAAAAGAAAAAGAAAAAAGAGTGAATTGTATAGTTCAGATGACACTACAGAATGGCCAGCATCCAATATAGTGCACTATATAGGGAATAGGGAGTGATTTTGATTGCATCTGTCACCTCATGTAATTGTGCCCAGGTGTTGTTTGCGTTAGTTAGTGCATATATCTCTGGTTTCCTTAATCAGCAGTCAGATCTTACTTTTACAGGAGTAATGCTTGGTATGTTCAGTTTTTTTTTTTTTTGGTTCACAACTCAGGGCCATCATTGGTGGGAATAACCAGGACTTTGGACGTTGTCCCTGTGATGCAGGGATTCCAATAAACATGCCTTTACGCCGCTAAGTGTAGGGGGTCTGGGTCCTGGCCCACCCTTTTTTTTTTCCCAAGGCTCTGTGAATTCAGCATCACTCATAAATATTTTGTCCTGGGCCCCCCAAATTCAAGCAAGCTTTACTGCAACCTGGCAGCAGCTACATCTGGTCATCCATCTTCCTTGTCTCTTTCTTTGAAAGGTCCACCTCAA